GGATAGACATTAAAGACAATCACCAAGACATGTAATAATCAAGCTTTCCAAAATCAGACAAGGACAGAATCCTGAAAGCAGCTAAGGAAAGGAGAAGTGTAACATACAAAGGCAAGCAAATCAAATTAAGCTCGGATCTCTCAACAGAAACCATGCAGGCAAGAAGGCAATGGGGAGACATATATAAAACGGGAACAAAAAATTTGCGAACCAAGAATCCTCTACCTGGCAAAGCTGTCAATCAAATACAAACATGTAATCAAAAAATTCCAGGATAAACAGAAGCTAAAGGATTTTGCCAAAGCCAACCCTGCTATGAAAAACATTCTAAAGGAAGTTCTGTGGACTGAGAACCAACAAGAACAGACAACAACCAGAGAATGACGTATGTGGCAGCATCACCCTGAACTCAATCGACAAATGGAAGCGTCAAGAACAGAATAAAATGGTAAGAACAGAGGATCTGGGAAATAGTCTATGGTCAAAACAATTACAATGTGAAGGAAGGTAAACATACAGGAACAGAGATCCAGGTGGTGAGGTCAGGTAGATTACAGGATAAAATAGACTGTCTTAAATGGAAGGAAGAATTAATATAAGGTTAATATAAGGAAGCTCTGGTAGCGTAGTGGTTACGAATCGGGCTGCGAACCTTAAGGTCAGCGGTTCGAAACTACCAGCCGCTCCGCGGGAGAAAGATGAGGCTTTCTACTCCCGTAAGGATTTACAGCCTCGGAAACCCTGTACAGGGTCGCTATGGGTCGGAACCGACTCGACGGCACTTAACAACAACAACAATATAAGGAAGAGTTAATATAAGGTAACCACAACAGTGGGGCTTGGGTTGGGGTTAGATCAGGTGTTGGGAGGGCAATACAAGAAGGTGTTGAAGGTAGAAGAACAAGATAGATAGGGGAACACTGAAACAGGTTTGCATGGCATAAATGGGACAGAGGTAAATAGTGATGCATGCTCAACCTTGGAACACAGGGCTCTGTGATACAGGGATCTAGGCATAGTTTGAAGAGGGGAAATAAAACTAAGATGCTTGACTGTCTTATAAATATTGCTTTCCATTGCCTACTATTGCAAAATAGACACTTGAGTAGGATAGAAAGGAATGTTGGGAAACATGATTACAGTAAACTTGTAAGCCCATCTTCAGCCTATAACTGACTGGAATACCTAAAAGGAGTTCTAGAACTTGCTCAGTGAAATAGGCCTCCGGCAAAGCCTTTGCAGAGTATAGAACTTTAGGTGGAATCCTGAGTCCCATCCAGAACCTTATGAGGTGGAACATCCCCACTAGCAAGGACAAGCAGACCAGCTTGGAACAGCTAGAGCAACAGAAGATGTTCAAAGAAAGATCATAAGGAAAAACACAAAACAAAAATGTCAGCATGACTGGCTACTACAAGAATAAGCAGGCTGTTCGCCAGGAAGTCATCAAGGCAAGCAATCAAGTTCCTTCAGGGCAAACTCCACTCAAAAGTCTTAAACTCAAAGGGAACACACAAACAGGCATGTAAGCTTGCTGGCGACCATATTGATCTACTGGTGAGTGGAAGAGGAGTAAAGGCAGCAACGAAGAAATGGGCTCAGTTCAACCGCAGTCCATTCACTCCGTTGACCTAGAGATGAGAGAGAGAAAAGGAAGGGCTGGTTGGTCCAAAGTGTGGTGAGACCTGGGGACACTTGAGCCCATGGACAAGGACACAGCCACAGAGGGCTAGAGCTGAGAGTGAAGCATGCAGCTGATATGAAGTAAGGGGAGATGCACAAGAACACCCAAACTTGCAGACAGTACCCATTTGGCCTAGCCTTGATGGCTTGATAATCAGAACTCGACTAGAGGAAGATTGTAAAAAAAAAAATTTTTTTTTTTTTTTTTTGGATAAAGGAAATGGGTAAATTGCTACAATTTGATGAATCTGACCTATACTCATGGAGGTAGTAACTCTAAATACCAACAGAGAGGGAAGGAGCCTTCACATCAAGTATCACAAACCCCTCTGTACACAGGGTAGATAGGGACGGGCAACTTAGACACTGGCTGCCTTTAATGAGGGGGCAATAAAGGCATGATGTTTCTGGCTTACAAGGATTCTAGAGGGAGTTTAGTTTAAGAGTATGGGGGTGGAGAAATAGTCTCCACTCAATAGTTTTCATATTCTCTAGACGGGTCTGGTGAAAAGAGATGGGGATAAGATTAGTATGATTCAATAGTGAATAACTGTTATCATGACTATTTGAGACTGTCACAATTGTAAAGGTAGAAGTTTTGTAATAAAAACAGGGAGTGGTTAATCTTACAGTCTAGAAACAGAGGACCCTAGGACCATCTAGGGAGAAGAGCACAAGCAGAATGAGGGACCTTATCCAGAGAAACAGCAACGCCAGAGACAGAGGCAGAGATGGGATCATGGACAGAGGGAGTGGCTGAGAACGCTAGATTCATGGGAAGAGAGGATCTAAGAGCTGGTGGCCAAGAGGCAGACATGCAGAATATGCCCTTTTGGAGGTGTAAATCATTATATATGCCTGAGTGCTTTTGTTTTTGGGGTTTTTTTTTTTAAGAAAAAGAAAGTGAATAGAGAGAAATACTGTTAACTGATGGTACATGGAGAGTATTATAATCATTATAATGAAACAAGGTTTATGATTTGTTGAATGTAAAACTGATGATCTGCCCTGTAAACTTTCACTCAATCCACAATAAAAAACCTTAAAAACAAAAACAAAAAACCCTATGGAGTTCAGTGCTACTTTTAACACATAAGGCTTCGCATTAAGTCAGAATCAACTCAAGGACTACTGGTTCTAAAGAATCAAGAAAAAGATGAGAAAAGCCCAAGGGAACTGGCCTCAGACTCAGCTTTCACACACACTGGCCTAATTTTTCCATTTTGTTGCAGCCAGCAATTAAAGACTCATTTAGGTTATCAAGTTTCTTCATTTAAGAATGCAAAATCTACTTACACCTCCTAAGTCTTACAAGAAAATTATATTAATCATTCCATTTTATAGATGAGGAAACTGAAGCAAAACAGATTAGTTTCTTTCCCAGTGTCACACAGCAAAGGCACAGCACATTATCCTACAATGAATGTTATTTTCAGAGTTGAGAGGGGCTGCCTTTCACCCACACATCAGTGCATATTCTTTCCTAATAGCCTTCTCAAAAGACGGGGCTTTTGTTTGGGGTGATAGGTAAACAAACAAGTTATTGTGGCACAGAGAATACTTTGCAGGCAGAATTCTAAAGTGAGGATCACGAACTTGGGGTACCTGGGGGAACCAAGACAAACCACAAATTTCAAAACACTCCACAGGGGCAGCTCTTGCTCCAGAACAGCTTGCCTCTCTCTCTTCCGAACTTCCCACATGACCCTCACAGTTCTCCCAACCAGAATATAAGACTACCATTGTTAGTGCCACAGTTTGGCAACATGATGTGTCCCAACACCCGTGACAGGCACAGAGAAAGCACCCAAATATTTACTGAATGAACGAAAGGCAGAATTGTTTCTATGGCAAACTGTAACCCAACTTCCGCTTTTAACAAAGAAATGAAAAATGCACCTTCAAATCACAAAACCCATTGCTGTTGAGTCTATTCTGGCTGGTAGAGACTTCTAGCACAGGTTTTGGTGGGTTCGAAACACTGACCTTTGGTTAGCACTTATCCAGTGCATCACCAGGACTCCTTAAGCACTTTTTATTAACTTTTAAAAGGCTGGCCTAAGTTGGGGAGTCTTGTGGGCTGCTTTTTTCCTAGCCCCAGTACCTCCAAAAAGAAAAATTACCACTTCAGCATACAGAGATCTCAGGAGTGTGATGTTTTTATATTTTATAGTAAAACAACAAACACCACTACCTTATGTGACTTTAGGTTACCTTAACATGAATTTGTTGTTATTGTTACGTGCCGTGGAGTCGGTTCCGACTCATAGCGACCCTGTACAGGGCGAGGCTGTAAATCCTTACGGGAGCAGAAAGCCTCATCTTTCCCTCGCGGAACAGCTGGTAGTTTCCAACTGCTGACCGTGAGATAAGCAGCCCGATTTGTAACCACTACGCTACCAGAGCTCCTTATCATGAATAGCTGGTTAAAAAAAAAAAAAAAAAAAAAATCCCTTCTTAGGGTGAGAAGTGGCGAAGGTAGACATTTTCCCAAAAGTTCACAAAACAAAACATACTTTACAATGTGGAAAAAGTTTCCTTAAAAACATTACCAGTAATGTATCCAAATATGTATGTCTTATGCTAAATAATTAAACTGTACAGAGCCCAAGTTTCTAGGAAGACATCAGGGTAAGCCAAATGACAGGGCTTCAATGACAATTCTTGAAAAATATATCTATTTCTCCTTTGGTTGGCATCCGTGACCTGAAAACTTGGCTACTAGCTCCAACTGGTATCAGATTCTTCATAATGTGAGATTTTCAGGAGTCACATTACCGTCAAACTACTGGGGCGGAACGAGAGCCAAAAGCAACAGGGAAGATGCCCATTTTCCTTGTCCACCTCCTTCTCATTTGCCATTTAAGAAAAACGGTACGTTTTTACGTTCGAAAGGCCTCATCCTTGCAGATCTAATGTAATGTTAAGTCCAAGATTTAAGGAACAAACCTGCTGATTGTAAAACACAGGTTAAGATCTCATCCACCAAGGATTAGTTTTGCCCTTTCCCACCACCTCCTTTGTCTGAGCTGCCCCTGAAACTCGCAGTTCAATGCCCTCCAGTAAACAAGCCACCTAAAAGAAAAAAATGTTCTAAGCCTTTCAACAAGAGAGGACAAAACCTAGAAACGCTTCCGGAGGCTTACTTAGAAACCGGGAGCAGGCCAGGTTCTCCCCAGAGAAAACCTGGACCCGGGGTCTGCCAGCCGAGCGACGCCGTGCGGCGAGACGCCCCCGCCAGGCGCAGCAGCCCCCCTGCGCCTGGCGCCCCAGTACGCGGGGACCCCCGCCCGCCGCCGCTCCTGGCTGGCACTCACCTCCGTGGATGGGCAGCGGCGCCAGCACCTGGCCGCGGACCTCGGCCTTGGGCGAGTCGAGCCCGTATCGCCCGCGGTCGATGCGGAACGTGAGCGGGACGCCACGGCCGGGCTCCTGCACCGTCACGTTGATGAGCGCCGTGTAATATTCCTGGCTCGCGTTGTCGGCCCGAGCCGGCCACAGGCTGCATGTCAGCAGCGCGAGCGCGGCGAGCCGGGCCGGGCCCGCCCGCGCCGCTCCGCTCATGGTCCCTCCGGCCGCCGCCGACCTCAGACCGGGCTCCGGGACCGGGGCCGAGAGGCGGGGCAAGCGCGGCCCGGGCTGCAGCGGGAGCGCGCGCGCGCAGCCTGAGCGAGGCCGAGCGCGAGGCTGGCCCTCGCCTTCGCCGGTGTCCCGCCGCTCGCCGACCTCCGGGTTGTCCGTACCGCCCTCACGCCCAAGGCCCGCCCACGGGTGCGCGTCCATGGACCCCTCGGCGAGGTCCGGGGGGAGGTCAGGCCGCGTGCTGTCGTGTCTTCGGGACCCCGCTCTCCATGCCCTGGTGTCTGCCCTGCCTTGATGTGGGCACCTCGCGGGGCGGGGCGGGGCGGGGCGGGGCGGGGCGGCTCGAAGAGGACGTGCCCAAAAGAGTGTCTATAAAGCACAAAGTCCAGTTCACCAGGCGGCCGCAGCGGCGCGAGCTCGCCGGAGCCGCCCCGCCCCCAGCCAGCTGAGCGGCAACGCGCAGGCCTGAGGTACAACCCCGCCCCGTGCGCATGCGTATGAGGGCTTGCCTGCTCCCGCCCACTTGCACGAGGGTCCGATGAGGTCCTGGCACTTGCTCACCTGGCACCTGCCCTCTTTGTCCATTGGACGAGATGTCACAGGGCCTGGAGTTTAGGAGCTTACCAGAGGTCTGTCAAAAACGGTTGGAAAAACAATATAAAAGGAAAAGATTTTGCAACTTTAGAATTAATTTTGTAGTTACCTATGACATTTTTAACAAACATTGGCCTATATGCAATTTGTCTATTCTAGGTATTTCATATTAATGGAGCATTCAGTATCTTTCTTTTTGTGTATGTCTGACGTTTCACTCAGCATAATGCTTTCAAGTTTCAACCATATTTATAATATATAGCAAGACATACTCCAGGCCCTGTGCCTATCATGGCTATATACAGATATACAACATTTTTTGACCCATTCATCTGTTGATGGGCACTTGGGTTGTTTCCATCTTTTGGTTATTGTGAATAATGTTGCCATAAATATTGGTTTATAGGTGTCTGAGTCTCTGTTTTCAATCTTTTGGGTATGTTCTCATGCATTGATGTGCTGTACAAGTACACCCCACTCCTCACTCATCAACATTGTTGAGTTCCAAAGACGTGCAGACATGCTGAGCATACCTTCTGCAACAAAGACATCAGAAATCAAGTGTTAAAAATATGGATGGTAATTCTAGAACCTTGAGTTTCAAAGGAAAGGATAGAGAAGCAAATTGAGTTCTGAATGGGTGATGAAGCTGAGCAGGAGCAGCAAAATAGGAGCGAGATGGGTGGGTTGTTGGCTGGCATGGTGCAGCAGTCATCTTCAGCTTTTGTGGGTGGTTGTTGATAGAGACAGTGGCCTGGAAGCACAGGTCACAGCAATGAAGATTGGTGGTGAGGGGCATATGGTATGGCCAGATCCCACCTTGGACCATCCAGTGGCCTGTGGCATCTCCTTCGGCACAGCCTCTGCTCTGCCTAGTGTCAGGTGCCAGGGAGCTGGGCATGCAACTTGCGTGCATGGAGGCACTTGAATTTCACCTCATCAGATCTTTTATTGCTGTTATTTGGTTTTGAGTGACAGCAAATGTGTCCATATTGCCCAGCTATATGGGTGCCTCCTTTGGCTCACTATGTAAGTGCCACTTTCCACTCCTACACCAAATGATCAATGGTAATTAGCAGCCAACATTACACAAAATAGCTTTGAACTACGTCACAAAAAACAGTGAACGAAGAGTATATACACTTCTAGTCTCTATCTAGAGACAAGTGGTGAGTACCTAAAAGTAAAACAACACACAATCATCAATTAAATATAAATACAATGACAAAACAATGGGGCAGAGATAATTTCAGCTTGCATGAAGAACAAGACACAGTAGCTTGAACGAGTGACCAAAATACACAGCCAGAAAATATAATACCAGAAATAGAATTGGAACTATCTGGTAAGAGACTAAAAAGAATGATATTCAAGTGCCTTCAAAAGATTGATGGAATTATCAAGCAATCCACCAATGAAATTAAGGAAAACACAAACAAAACTTTAGAGGAATTCAGGAAAACACTATAAGAACAAATTGACGAAATAAATGAAAAATGAGAAGCCATACAAAAATAGCAATAGAAATCCAGAAGATAAATACTAAGATTTCAGAAACAGAGGATGTGTAGAAGGGGCAGGGAAGTAGAATTGAATTAATGAAAGGCTGGATTGGTGAACTTGAAGACAAATCTCTCAATATTCATCTGTTAGGAGTTCTGGTACAGCACTCACTGGATGTGCTCTCTCATTTATGCCAAGAAATTTGGAAGACAGCTAAGTGGCCAACCAATTGGAAGATACATATTTGTGCCTATTCCAAAGACAGTTGACTCCACAGAATTTGGAAATCATCAAACAATATCATTAATATCACTGGCAAGTAAATTGTGTTGAAGAAAATTCAAAAGCCGCTGCAACTGTGCATCAACAAGGAACTGCCTAAAACTGAAGCTGGATTCAGAAGAGGATGTGAAACTAGGGATATCATTGCTGACATCAGATGGACCTTGGTTAAAGCAGAGATTACCAGAAAGATGTTTACTTGTGCTTTATTGGCTAAAGACTTCTGACTGTGTGGGTCATGGCAAGCAATGGATAACATTGAAAAGAATGAATATTCCAGAATACTTGATTGTGTTCTTGAAGAACCTGTATACAGACCAAGAGGCTGTCCTTTGAACAGAACAAAGGGATAGTAAATGGTTTAGAATCAGGAAAGGTGTGTACCAAGGTTGTATTATTTCACCATAGTTATTCAATCTGTATGCGGAGCAAATAATCTAAGAAGTGGGATTAAGTGAAGAAAAACGTGGCATCAGAGTTGGGGGAAGACTCATTAACAACCTGCGATATGCAGATGATACAACCTTGTTTTCTGAAAGTGAAGAGGACTTAAAATACTTGCTGATGAAGATCAATGACCACAGCCATCACTATGGATTGTACCTCCATGTAAAGAAAATACAATCCTCACAACTGGATCAATAAATAACATGATAATTGGAGAAAAGATTGAAGTTGTCAAAGACTTCCTTTTGCTCACATCAACCATCAACACTCATGGAAACAGTAGTCAAGAAATCAAATGATGTATTGCATTAGACAAATGTGCTGCACAAGACCTTGTAAAAGTGTTCAAGAGAAATGCAAAGGTAGATGTTTTGTAGCAAGGAAGGGAGTGATTAATTCTCCAGTCTAGGAGCTAGGAGCGGAGGTCTCTAGGACCATCAATGCAGAAGAGTCGAGAGCAGGACCCTACCCAGAAAAGGAGAGATGCCTGAGATAGAGACAGAGACAATGACGTGGAGTGATGAAGTGGCTGGGGACTTTGGATCCAGAGAAGGAGAGGGACTGTGTTCTGAAGACTGGCGGGGAATGGGGGGTGTGGGGCGTGGGGGTTGTAGGGTATACCCTTTGGTCGGTTGATGATGCAAGGAGGGGATTTGAACCATGGCAATGAAATGATGTACGATGGAATGAATGTAAAACTAAAATTCTCTCATGTAAACTATCATATAATTCACAATAAAACATTAAAAAAAAGTGTTCAAGAGCAAAGATGTCAGTTTGAGGATAAAGTGCTCCTGATCCAAATCTTGGTATTTTCAATAGACTCATGCATGTAAAAGTTGGACAATGAATAAGAAAAATTGATGCATTTGACTTATGGTGTTAGAGAAGGATATTAAAGGCACTGTCAGAAGAACAGATAGGTCTGTGGAAGAGTTACAGCCAGAATGCTCCCTGGAAGCAAGGATGGAAGACTTCGTCTCTCATACTTCAGACATATTAATAGGCGGGACAAGTCCCTGGAGAAGGACATTATGCTTGGTAAAGTGGAAGGTCAGAGAAAAAGAAGTCTTCCAATGAGATGGATTGGCACAGTATCTACAGCAATGGGCTCAAGTATACCAGTTGTGAGGATAGCGAAGGACTGGGCAGTGTTTCGTTCTGTTGTGCATAAGGTCACTATGAATTGGAACCGACTTGACAGCACCTAACGACAACATTGAGTCGTTTCCAGTAATAGTGACCTTGTATAGTTTCCAAAGAGTGGCTGGTGGATTTGAACTTCCAACCTTGCAGTTTAAACTGACCTTTTGGTCCATTGCTTTATCCTACAGTGCCACATCAGAACACACACACACACACACACATATACTTTTGTTGTTGTTGTTTAGTGCTATTGAGTCTGTTCCAATTTATAGCTATCCCATATAGGGTTTCTGTGGAGCAGCTGGTGGATTCAAATTGACGACCTTGCAGCTGAAACCAAATTTTCAGTTCAGTGCTTATCCTTCAGTGCCACACCAGTGCTTATGATGGAGAAATTAGGACATTTGTAGATAAACAGAAATTTAAAGTATTTGTAAAATCCAGATCAACAACAGACAACAAACTGAGATTAACATATATGACAATATGACCCAGAACTCAGTCTAGATGTAGAGGTATCCAAAGTGAAACAAATCTAGAGAACCAGAGATATTAGTTTATAACAATAATACCCCCAAAGTAAAAAGAAGGAATAGTTTAGTTATATAATTTCCCAATGAACAGGAAATCAAATAGAGCTCAAGAAAGAAATAAAATGAACCTAACCATAATTCTAAAATTAGATCAAGCTCTAATCATAGCCCAACCCCTGCTCCTACCCCTAACATTAACCCCAGTTCAATCCATAATACTAACACTTAAGGAAACCCTAGGACTAACCTAGAACTAGTCATAAGCCTAACCCTAATGTTATCTCTTTACTCCCAACCACTCCCCACGCCCCCCAAAAAAAGAGAAAGAGAAAAAAAACAGACCCGAACAAAACCAAACCAAACCTTCATTCCTTTTCTATATAAATATAAGACAAAATAAATATATGTTGTTGTTGCAACTAGCCTAAAAGAGTATCTTAAATGGACACATTCTCATTGATTTATGACCATTTCACTTTTAGTTTCCTGTTATGAAACAAAAATCTAGTGCTCATATTAAGTAATGGTTATTGGAAGACATACATAGTAGAACAAATGTCTAAAAATGCCCAGGTATCCTATAAAATCAGAAATGTTTTATATATCCTGTTGGAGACTTATAAATGTGGTTATTTGATTAGAGTCAAGGTTAAGATGTGTCATGTATCCTGCATCACCACAACAACTTTGCTATATACCACACGACTGTTGTCTGAGATTAGTGGCAGGCACATCTTACTTTATATATAGGATCATGGTGGCTCCATATGGTAAGCTCTTTCTCCAAGGGAAAAAGATGAGGCTTTCTGCTGGCGTGAAGATTTAAAGCCTTTGAAATCCTATACAGAGTCATTATGAGTCAAGACTGACAAGACTGAATACCTTTGAGTCGGGCCTGATTCATAGTGACCTTAGGCATAAAAGACCCAAACACTGTCTAGTCTTGAAACATCCTTTGAGCTCATTGCTGCTGCCAGTGTGCCAATCCATCATGTTAGTGGTCTCCCTCTTTTACACTGACCCTCCACTTTACTTAGAATAATGTTGTTCTCCAGGGATTGGGTCTTCCTGGCAATATGTCCAAAGTATGAGAGACAAAGTCACACAATCCTAGATCTTAGGATCA